CAAAAGAGTGCAAAAATTAGGGGGGTAAGTCTGTTGAGTCCTAGGGATAGTTGGGAGACAGCAAAAGCTCAAGGAGGCACTACCCCCCCTCCAAGTGAATGGAAAAAAGAAAAACCGTAAATTTCTTTACATGATGGTAGGGCTGCGGGGTCTTTTCTGTCTCAAACATGCAAAAACTCAGTTACATCTCAAATTTTTAAACCTTAGTCACACTCCATACATGTAAAGCACATGCAAAGCTGTATAAATATTTTTTATATATATAATATTAATATAAATATATAATATAATATATTTTTTTTTTTTTTTTTTTTTTTTAAAAAAATGGGGGCCGTCTCCCACCGAGGCAGGGGACCCAAAAAAGAAAGAAAATCCCCAAAAAGAAAATACTTTCATCATCATTCAACACTTTCACCACACTCGCACATTATCACTGTTTTTGCAGAGGTGCTCAGAATACAACAGTCTAGAAGCATACACATATAAAGATACACAACATATCCCTCCAAACTGCCAATATCCCAAACCCCTCCTTTAAAGTGCAGGCATTGTACTTCCCATTTCCAGGACTCAAGTCCGACTATATGAAAATAACCGGTTTCCCTGAATCCCTTCACATACACATACACATACATACATACATACATACATACACACACCCCTCTGGGTTTTCTGCTATTTTCTTTCTAGTTCTTGTTCTTGTTTATTTCCTCTTATCTCCATGGGGAAGTGAACAGAATTCTTCCTCCGTAAACCATGCGTGTTGTAAGAAGCGACTAAAATGCCGGGAGCAAGGGGCTAGTAACCCCTTCTGCTGTATAAATTACTAAATTTGAAAAGAAACTTTTGTTTTTCTTTTTGGGCCACCCTGCCTCGGTGGGATACGGCTGGTTTGTTGAAAGAAAAGAAGAAGTCTGTTGAGTATACCTGGTAAAGTGTATGGTAGAGTTATTATTGAAAGAATTAAGAGCAAGACGGAGAATAGGATAGCAGATGAACAAGGCGGCTTTAGGAAAGGTAGGGGGTGTGTGGACCAGGTGTTTACAGTGAGACATAAGTGAACTGTATTTAGATAAGGCCAAAGAGGTTTTTGTGGCATTTATGGATTTGGAAAAGGCGTATGACAGGGTGGATGGGGGGCAATGTGGCAGATGTTGCAGGTGTATGGTATAGGAGGTAGGTTACTGAAAGCAGTGAAGAGTTTTCACGAGGATAGTGAGGCTCAAGTTAGAGTATGTAGGAAAGAGGGATATTATTTCCCAGTGAAAGTAGGCCTTAGACAAGGATGTGTGATGTCACCGTGGTTGTTTAATATATTTATAGATGGGGTTGTAAGAGTAGTAAATGTGAGGGTCTTGGCAAGAGGCGTGGAGTTAAAAGATAAAGAATCACACAAAGTGGGAGTTGTCGCAGTTGCTCTTTGCTGATGACACTGTGTTCTTGGGAGATTCTGAAGAGAAGTTGCAGAGGTTGGTGGATGAATTTGGTAGGGTATGTAAAAGAAGAAAATTAAAAGTGAATACAGGAAAGAGTAAGGTTATGAGGATAACAAAAAGATTAGGTGATGAAAGATTGGATATCAGATTGGAGGGAAAGAGTATTGGGGAGGTGAATGTATTCAGATATTTGGGAGTGGACGTGTCAGCGGATGGGTCTATGAAAGATGAGGTGAATCATAGAATTGATGAGGGGAAAAGGGTGAGCGGTGCACTTACGAGTCTGTGGAGACAAAGAACTTTGTCCTTGGAGGCAAAGAGGGGAATGTATGAGAGTATAGTTTTACCAACGCTCTTATATGGGTGTGAAGCATGGGTGATGAATGTTGCAGCGAGGAGAAGGCTGGAGGCAGTGGAGATGTCTTGTCTGAGGGCAACGTGTGGTGTGAATATAATGCAGAGAATTCGTAGTTTGGAAGTTAGGAGGGGGTGCTGGATTGCCAAAACTGTTGTCCAGAGGGCTGAGGAAGGGTTGTTGAGGTGGTTCGGACATGTAGAGAGAATGGAGCAAAACAGAATGACTTCAAGAGTGTATCAGTCTGTAGTGGAAGGAAGGCGGGGTAGGGGTCGGCCTAGGAAAGGTTGGAGGGAGGGGGTAAAGGAGGTTTTGTGTGCGAGGGGCTTGGACTTCCAGCGGGCATGCGCGAGCGTGTTTGATAGGAGTGAATGGAGACAAATGGTTTTTAATACTTGACGTGCTGTTGGAGTGTGAGCAAAGTAACATTTATGAAGGGATTCAGGGAAACTGGCAGGCCTTACTTGAGTCCTGGAGATGGGAAGTACAGTGCCTGCACTCTGAAGGAGGGGTGTTAATGTTGCAGTTTAAAAATTGTAGTGTAAAGCACCCTTCTGGCAAGACAGTGATGGAGTGAATGATGGTGAAAGTTTTTCTTTTTCGGGCCACCCTGCCTTGGTGGGAATCGGCCAGTGTGCTAATAAAAAAAAAAATACTATGATTCCTTCATCCCATCACTTTCTTTTTTTCATGTCTCTGCATTAAACTGATAAAGCCCCTGGTAGGTAAAACGTCTCTAAAGATACCCAGGTGTTGCAAGTCTTATTCTTTAAAATCTACATAGTTTCCTTAACCTAAGAGTCTTTTAAAATAATATTTCTTTTATATACAGTGAAACCTCGGTTTTCGTGATTAATCCGTTCTAAAAAGTTTGACAAAAACCATATTGTACGAAAACTGAAGCAATATTTCCCATAAGAAACAATGTAAATCCAACTAATCCGTTCCAGACACCCAAAAATATTAACAAAAAAATACATTTTATAGAGAATAACTATAGTTTTACATACAGAAAACAATGAGAAATAAATATAAATGACTAATGAAATGGCTAAATGAACATTTAACATCACTCTTGCCTTTACTGAAGACTCTTGTTGGCATATGGAAGACGGTGAGATGGGATGAGGGAGGAGGACAAGTTATTGTTTAGAAGGGAAATCCCCTTCCATAAGGACTTCATATATCAATGCCCTATCTGGGGTTACTTCCCTTGTCTTTTACTGGCACTAGGACCAGCTTGAGAGTCACTGTCGCACAAAAAATATGTCCTGAGAGGTCTGTTTCTGGAGTCTAAGATTTGCCTAAAATGGGACAAGGCATTGTCACTGAACATGTTGCAGACACGGCTTGCAACAGCTTTGTTAGGGTGATATTTCTTCACAAAACTTAGCAACTCACTCCTCTTTGCACACACGTCCTTAATCACTAAAAGAAGGCACATTCTCCCCTCTCTCTCTTCCTCTTCCTCTGAAGCAATTTAATCAGCTGTAGTCTGTTGCTTTTCTGGTGATGCTCACTCAACAAGAAACAGGCAGACTGAGTCACGAACACATGGGACGCTTTGTGTGGGCACTCGAGTGGCAGAGTCACACGGATGCATTTGGTACGGCCCATTTTCAACTCTATGAAAACCGAACTAATATACGAAAACTGGGACAATTTTGACGAAAAATAGTAGCCAAAAACCGAATCCTACAAAAACTGGGGCATACGAAAACTGAAGTTCCACTGTATATAAGGAATACCATAAATCATGTATTACTCTACTCCTTTCACCACAAGTGGAAGGACTAGCAGGAGAGGATCTGTGCATCCACAAATGATGTCAAATCATCATCAGGCTCCTGAGTTACCTTCATAACACCAATCTTCATAAATTAAAAAACTAAATGAATAAACACTTATCTAAAAGATATTCACACTGCATGTGGGAAAAACACACATCATCTACACTTTAGACACACAAGTTACCATAAACTGGATATTTACTGTAACTGTATTAAGCATTTTACACATGAACTGTATGGTATATATAAAAAAAAGGGTTTATTCAGTTGGAACAAAACATTTACTTTATGCTTAATCAAGTAGTAAATACAGATCTTATGGAGTGAAGAAAATTCAATTTTAATGGAGCTGATCGGTAAGTCAGTACAAGACCTCTATCTCTCAACCAAAAGCTCCACCGAGGGCATCATACGACTAAGGCATGCATGAAATAAATTTATATATTATATTATTCAATTAAAACAATTATATGCAGATGCTCAGGAATGAAACTCCATGTTTTGTACTGCTCCCGCCTTCTTTCCTCCTGGGGACAATTTCTAAGGGAGGAAGACTAATTGGATAAGCAACCCCAAAGGGCTATTAACTAAGGAAGTTAAATGTGGCTTGTCACTGGGGCTATTTGGGCCTCTATCCTGACAAGCAAACAGCAGCAAATTAACTCCTAGGTACCTATTTATGGCTAGCAGGTTTAATTAAGGAGCCTTGCCTATTTATCTCGCCTTGCCTAGACAACCTGATCTTTTAGTACACAAGTATTCCCCATTAATTCTGTATTTGTAAATACCGAATATAGTGTTAACACATATATATACAATGGTCCTTCGAGCTATGATGGGCTGGAGTTAAAATAATTTTTAGTTACGATCTGCGTTAATAGAAGAATTTAATTTTGAGCTGCAATGAAAAATTTGGAATATGATATGCCCTTGTGATTTATTTATGCCATCTTTTGTATTACAGGCAAATTCTCTGAAGATCAAACAAAAAATTGTGAAAAACATGATGCAGGAGTTAGAATTAGTGCACTGGTGCACGAGTATGGCTTTCCACAATCAACCATCTCTACTATTATCAAGTAAAATGACACTGTAAAGGATACTGAAATGGGTGTCAAATCTTAGCTAGTGCACAAAGACAAATTATCATAAGAGATGGAAAGACTGTTGTTAATGTGGATAAGAGAAGATGAAGGGAGATACAGTGCCTGTTTGGTCTGGGAACAAATTATCATAAAACTATGAATTTTGGGGTTTGAGTTATGACAGTTTTGAGGTAGGTTACATCTTCTGAAATGGATTAATATCATAACTCAAGGGACTACTGTACTATATAAACAAGTTCTTAAAATATGAATACACAAAGGCATACCTATACTGCAATATGCAATCAAATACTAAGTATAATGTATTACCTACCTGCAGATACCACACTGTCTAGATGGCGCTAGTGCAGTGAACATTACAATCATAGAATAGTTGCGAGGAGTGCCTTTAACATACTGCCGAAACTTGTCCCCATTGAAGCGCAAAACTGGTTTTTTCAAACCGGCATCTGACAACTGCTGGACACGCTCTGACAGAGTGAGCTGTAAATGGAATGAGGACATCCAATGGAAATAAATAAGGACCCCAATGGAAATAAGTCACTTCGACTTTTTGGGTTATCCTAGGTTCTCTACACATATGCTGCTATGATAATCTATGTAACTGTATTTGTGTATACCTAAATAAACTTCCTTACATTATGGCCCAATGGCCTGGTGGCTAAAGCTCCCGCTTCATACACGGAGGGTCCGGGTTTGATTCCCGGTGGGTGGAAAAATTACGACACGTTTCCTTACACCTTTTGTCCTGTTCACCTAGCAGCAAATAGGTACCTGGGTGTTAGTCAACTGGTGTGGGTCGCATCCTGGGGGACAAGATCGAGGACCCCAATGGAAATAAGTTACACAGTCCTTGATGACGCACTGACTTTCTTGGGTTATCCTGGGTGGCTAACCCTCTGGGGTTAAAAATCCGAACAAAATCTTATCTTATTAGGCAAGTGGCCAATAAAGCCATTATAGACAGACATGGTGAAACTATAATTTTTTTTTAAAAATTAAACATACGCAAAACTTCCTTAATGGATTGTATATTATGGAGGGTAAAATGTCATCAGATTTCGTTTATATTATGAAAGATGTAAAGCCTGTCATTCAACATATAACATGAAAGGGATGGTAGTCTGGAGTGGAGGGTGAGATGAGGAAATAATTCAATAAAAAGTCGAACAATAAACTTACTACTAATGCTAGGTCTAATCAAAATAATGAGATAATTATATTTATGAAGACGTTAAACCAGCGAAAAATTATAAAAGTTTTTTTCGACTAGCAAACAATTTATTATATTTTTTAGGAAACAGGTTCTGTGCAAGAAATATGATTAAAAAGAGGAAAGTGTTATCTCCTAACATATACGTACCTCTTTTTTACACTGAATTAAAGTGCAAGCAAAGAAAAGGACTAAAATAAAGCTTGTAACTGAAGTCATCTTCGCTTGTTTACATTGAAAGTATAAGGTGAGGAAAGTGTCAGTGTTCTGTGTGATCCTCTTGGATGATCCTCTTACAACACTCTCACCAGCCAACTCAGATCCTCCATAAACAAATTCTAAACCCAATTTTACATAAATTTAGATTTTTTTCTGTCCATTGTATTATATGTTTTATTATGTATATTTAATAAAAAATAATTAATGTTACTTCCTCATTTATATTTTTCACAAGTTATACAGTGTAGTGTATAACCATCTCATGGCTGGATTGATAGTTGTATTGTTATATTGTCTATTGTTCCCGGCACTGCAGGCTGTCGAGCGCTGATTGGCTAAGAGTTTTTTTGGTGGGGGAGTAGGGGGGGGGGGGTTGTTGGTCTTCATTTTGGTCTAGAAGGGTTATATGAAGGATAGTTCACGTGTGTTAGTTTATTTAGGTACAGGTACACATAAGCACAATTATTATACATAGTTTAATATGTGTAAATTACCTAGGTAGGAATTGGTCGTTGGGATATGAGGTTGGTTGTTGGTGCAGAGGGGATGGTTGTTAGGGGTAGAGGGGATGGTTGTTAGGGGTTGTTGGTAGGGTGTTAGTTGTTGGGGGGGGGGTGAGTTGATTGATTAAGACTACATGCAACCTGTGTATACACCTAGATACATACATTATTATTTATTATTATTATAATCAAGGGGGAAGCGCTAAACCCGGAGGATTATACAGCGCCTGGGGGGGGATGTGGAAGGCATTCAGAATTGGCTTAATTCGGGGAACTGGAGCACAGATCCAATTCCCTAAATCAAGAGCCCCTCACCAACATCAAGGAACCTTCCTTGAGGGGGTAGATACATACAACTTTCGGTAATTACCTATTTGTAGCTACAGGAGCACAATTACAGTTTCATTTCTACAAGTACATGTACAAGGTGTACAGTCCTAGCTGACAACAATGACATACTACTATATAGAAAGCCCCTTGTTATGCAGAACATTTCTAGCAAATTAGGTCAGTTTTGTCCATAGGAGAAGGAGCATGGACACGGGGGTCGTCCCACAGTTACTAAAAACAACAGACATAGCCCCACTCCACAAAGGGGGCAGTAAAGCAATAGCAAAGAACTACAGACCGATAGCACTAACATCCCATATCATAAAAATCTTTGAAAGGGTCCTAAAAAGCAAGATCGCCACCCATCAAGATATCCATCAGTTACACAACCCAGGGCAGCATGAGTTAGAACAGGTCGCTCCTGACTCTCCCAACTACTGGCTCCTCATGGAAGGTTCCTTGATGTTGGTGAGGGGCTCTTGATTTAGGGAATTGGAACTGTGCTCCAGTTCCCTGAATTAAGCCTGAATGCCTTCTACATCCCCCCCCCCGGCGCCGTATAATCCTACGGGTTTAGCGCTTCCCCTTTGATTATAATAATAATAATAATAATAATAATAATAATAATCCCAACTACTGGATCACTACGACAAGGTCCTATATGCACTAGAAGACAAAAAGAATGCAGATGTAATATATACAGACTTTGAAAAAGCCTTCGACAAGTGTGACCATGGCGTAATAGCGCACAAAATGCGTGCTAAAGGAATAACAGGAAAAGTTGGTAGATGGATCTATAATTTCCTCACAAACAGAACACAGAGTAGTAGTCAACACAGTAAAGTCTGAGGCAGCTACGGTGAAAAGCTCTGTCACAAGGCACAGTACTCGCTCCCATCTTGTTCCTCATCCTCATATCTGACATAGACAAGGATGTAAGTCACAGCACCGTGTCTTCCTTTGCAGATGACACCCGAATCTGCATGACAGTGTCTTCCATTGCAGACACTGCAAGGCTCCAGGCGGACATCAACCAAATCTTTCAGTGGGCTGCAGAAAACAATATGAAGTTCAACGATGAGAAATTTCAATTACTCCGATATGGTAAACATGAGGAAATTAAAACTTCATCAGAGTACAAAACAAATTCCTTCCACAAAATAGAGCGAAAAACCAACGTCAAAGACCTGGGAGTGATCATGTCGGAGGATCTCACCTTCAAGGACCATAACATTGTATCAATCGCATCTGCTAGAAAAATGACAGGGTGGATAATGAGAGCCTTCAAAACTAGGGATGCCAAGCCCATGATGACACTCTTCAGGTCGCTTGTTCTATCTAGGCTGGAATATTGCTGCACACTAACAGCACCTTTCAAGGCAGGTGAAATTGCTGACCTAGAAAATGTACAGAAAACCTTCACGGCGCGCATAACGGAGATAAAACACCTCAATTACTGGGAGCGCTTGAAGTTCCTGAACCTGTATTCCCTGGAATGCAGGCAGGAGAGATACATGATTATATACACCTGGAAAATCCTAGAGGGACTAGTACCGAACTTGCACACGAAAATCACTCACAACGAAAGCACAAGACTCGGCAGACGATGCAACATCCCCCCAGTGAAAAGCAGGGGTGTCACTAGCACGTTAAAAGACAATACAATAAGTGTCAGGGGCCCGAGACTGTTTAACTGCCTCCCAGCATATATAAGGGGGATTATCAATAGACCCTTGGCTGTCTTCAAGCAGGCACTGGACAAGCACCTAAAGTCGATACCTGACCAGCCGGGCTGTGGATCGTACGTTGGATTGCGTGCAGCCAGCAGTAGAAGCCTGGTTGATCAGGCTCTGATCCACCAGGAGGCCTGGTCACAGACCGGGCCGCGGGGGCGTTGACCCCCGGAACTCTCTCCAGGTAAACTTCAGGTAAACTGGAAGGCCAGCAGAAGGCCTCGATCAGATGACCTTAAGCTTTAGTGGTGGATCATCATATGTAGTTACCACAGTGTCAGCGTGTCAGCGTGCCTCGTTGTGCTCCCGGTTTTCTGGTGTTTTCACGGTCGCTCTTACGTGCTAGAACTTTAATTTGTGTCATCAATCCTATACGATACATCCCTCTAGCGCCTGGAACCAATCTTGGGCGGAAAACATTATATACTGAGTAAAAAAAAGGAGAATTGTGTGCACTACCTAGCAGAGTTTACTGCCAGAGGGGAATCATAGGCCTGTCCCGTGTGGCACGGGAACAGCCAACATGGCCGACGTGGCAGGTTGTGTAGCGGGCTAGCTGCGGGATTTTCAAGGATAGCTCCTGGTCAAAGAGGCTGACCAGGTCCCTACTTAACAGAACTCAGTGTGAATGCTTTGAGAAGATACCAGAGCAGCGAACGGACTTCCCAGTGCATCATTTCAGCGTAAATAGTTGAAGTGTCGTGCAGAAGGTTTGGTGTTGTCGAGTCAGGACCAGTCAGCACCTCCCCCCCTCTCCGCTGGGGGGGAGGGGGAGGGCGTGTGTAGTAAACAGTGACCCTCTCATAACGCCTCACCCCTGCCCGTCTCCCCCGCCTCACCCACCCAACTCCCAGCGCCACCCCATCTCTAGAGGGTACTTCTCCCCTAACCCACGATGTCAGCGATGGCACTGCAGGGAGTGCCGGGCTCACAGGAACTTCCACTACAGGGACAGCATCGTGGAGTTCGACCACGAGGCAGCTGTCAGGTGTGCCACAGGCAGTGTGTACTCAGTTCCTCAAGCTTCAACATCCGTGCACACGAGGGCCTGGGATCTTCAGTCAACTTGGCGTCCACCAGGACGTTGCCATGTCCCTAGGACAGCTCTCCATCGGCTGCTAACGGAGCCACTGGCTTCTTGGACCTCTTGGGGAGGGTCGATGGTGCTCGTGCAAGCAGCAGATCCCGGGGCAACTTGCTGCTGTTTGCAATGGCTGTCTGCTGAGGAGAGACAGGCACCTAGCAACATCTGTTGTTGGGGCAATGGATGAATTCCCTGCTATGTTTGTCAACTGCTCATTACTCTGTAATTTGTATATGATTGTAATCATGTGATAACGTGTTTTATCATCATTACCTTTGAAACTTGTCATGATTTTGACCAGCTCTACCTGAGCTCATTACCTTGTAAATTCTCATGATTAATGTGTTTATGATTCATTACCTTTGCAATTATTCATGAGTGTGACCAGCTCTACCTGGAGCTCATTACCTTTGTAACTTGGTCATGATTATGACCAGATCTAGTTCATTACCTTTGTAACTTGCTCAGCTATCAAAACTTTGGAGTCCAGTCCCTGGACCAATTATGTACCTCTGTAATCTTTTGACTACCGCCCACAGGATGGGTATGGGGTGCATAATAAACATATTAAACTAACTGTCCCGTGTGGAAAAATAATAATAATTGAACTTTGTGTCAGAGGAAAGAAAGTCTCCCTGAAAGCATTGAGTATACATAGTGTATAGTGTATACTACAGTGGCTCCCTAGTATATTGATGATAAAGGCTAAAGTGTCATTTGAAAACAGGTGAATTTGTAAATGAAGTGATAAGCCTATAGAGGCAGGTGCCAGAAGTCGCCAGAAACTTACCACAGGTCAGCTGTTTTTAATAATCTTCCTGGCCTGCTAGTGTACTCGCATATAATCTAGTGATACCAGTGAATAGCAGAATACAGTGTTGTAGTAGCAACTAACCAGTATTATAATGGTACTTAGTGGAGTGGAGTGACTTTCATTAGTCTCTTTTTCTTGAAATACCAGACGTTACTGTGAATTTCATATAACCTGTAGTTACCAGCAGTCGCAATATACACAACGAGAAGCAATTATTACTACAGAAAAAGCGCCCTTCCTCCAAAATTTGCACCAGTCAACTATAGTGATAATATAGCATTTATTGTGGTGGAGACGGAAAAAAAAAAAAATAGAGAAGCTAGATACAGCGATTGATAAACAAGGGTGGAGGCTCGACCGTTCGTCATTGTAGGAGTGCCAGCAGTCACCGGCTCTTCAACACGCAAGTTATACTTTTGTATCAATCAAATCACATATTACTCGGGTAGAAATTTCCAGTAGATCCTTCATGTGTTAGCTCAAATCACCGACCAGTATGGTTTAAATAAGTGACCCACTGATCAGATCAGATAGACTGGTCCGAACCCTTGACTGGTCCGAACCCTTGACTGGTCCGAACCCTGGACTGGTTTCAAACGGTTTCGTTGTGCACCACCTAGCAGGTT